CAAATGACCTTATTCCTAAGTACTAAAGTACAAATTTAAGGTAAATCAGCACAAAATAGAATAAAAAAATATTGAAAATAAAATGTCTTACCATAATTTGATATTGGTATTGTGGTTTATCCTCCTCCGGCTAGTTGCCTTAATAAGGCAACTAGATATAACAACAATTTATAACGCTCCTTGGGGAGCCGAACTTGTCTTTGCGGACCTTGGTAATGTGGCCTCTATATTATAGAGGCCACATTACCAAGGCCCGCAAAGACAAGTTCGGCTCCCCAAGGAGCGTTATAACCCGTTCTACGGACCATGAGTAAAGTGATTTTGGGAAGAAAGAAGATATGTTAGAATGAAAGATAGAAGTAGTCGAGTTAGAAAGATAGCATAGAGATAGTGGACAGGATTGCACACGATGTCAGAAGGTGCAATACGTTAGTATACACATAATTGACTTAGGTTAATTAATGTATTAAGTCTTAATTTAAACCTTTTAACATCCTTAATTCGGAACATCCTTAATTCATTGACCTGTTGGTAAGAGGTAATTAATGCTCACATCCCACCCAGCCATGAGATCAACAGAACAGCATTTAAGAGTACACCTGAATATCCAAAGCTACAGTAAAAGAAACATGCAACGTTTGACAAATGTTTCAATGCAACTAGTAAGTTTCTGAGTCGATTGTTATAAGTCAAATCATGCAGATCATGATCTTGGTATGTAAGATGAGAGCTTGAAGAACTAATTAGGACGAACCGATCAGTCAGATAACCCGGAACATCTGCGACTCGTTGACTTATTGGTGAGAAGTTTTTATTGCAGAAACCCCACACAACAACCAGATCAGCAGAAAAGTATTTGAGTGCACAAAGAAATGAATATCCACGAAAACAATAAAAAAGACACATCATATTACAGATATACACATATTACATTATATTTTCTGCTACAACAAGAAAGATATTGTACTCAATTATACTTGACTCAATACATTGATTAATTGTTTTTATTATTACTTTTTTAATATTAGATTTTTTATAAGTAATATCTTCCCTCTAAATAATTTCATTCAAATAAGAAAATATTAAATATTTATATAAATTATTTAAATAAAACACTTTTATTAACAATAATTAATGACAATAAAAAAAGTCAGGGTCAAACATTTGACAAAGTTGCTAATAATCTTAAAAAGCCTTGGTTTTGATTAATCTCAAAAAGCTTTGGTTTTCATACAACCAATTCTATGTAGCATTTTCTAAAACCAAGTCATTTGCATAACACCTGCATAATATTTGCATATTCACATACATAAACAAGGTATGTCATTAAATGAAAATTTCATAAATGTTCTTAATTTATAGTTTTTGACAAGTATTTTTATGTGTCATATAATGTTCACTAAAAATTGAAGATTCAGTTTTCTAATAAAAACAAAGGTATATCTTATTGTGATCATTTATTTTCAGCCTTCCTTTTTTAAAAAGAGTTGTTAATCCAAACTAGCAACAATAAATCTTGAAACTTTTACAAAATATAAACAACCTCACAAAGTAAGTTTCTTATTTGTTATCTGTTTAGTCACATTTTTGAGTTTTCAAATAAATAAATAGAGTACATAACAAATTAATATGTATTAAGTATATTCCACAATAACTTTGTTCCATTTTTCGGTCGAATTCCTTCTTCTATGACTGATTTTGAAAGTTCCTACATAGCAGAATTTAAGAAATGTTCTGAATGTTGATTGTATTCAAAAAGCTAAAACGTAGCTTAATAATCTTTATACCATTTACTAAAAGATATATAATAATGAATGAATGTTTCAAATTAAATTGTTTTTATAAGTATTTTTGAATATAAATTTTTTTTTAGTTTTTTTTTAAGTTTATTTTTTTATCTTATCTCAAGAAAATTTTTTTGTTTGTTTCTCAAATAAATTTTTATATTTTTTATCATTGAAATTATCGTTTTAAATGGATATATTGGCTATTTTTGCTTTGTTTTTTATATTTCTGTTTTTTATATTTGAATGGGAATTATTTATACTTTTATCACCTTTTGTACGATCAAGACGGTTTGCATTTGCATTAAGTATCGATTGCACGAACAACAGGTTTAAAAAATTTATTTGCCTAATTCCGCAGTAAAAACAGCTTAATTCTATGAATCTGTTAAGAGTTTTTTTTTACAGAAAGGCTTTTATAAAAAATATCAAACAGATAAAGCTAATTTAACTAGGTCTCTTGGGCCCATTTTTTAATGTCCAAATTTGCTTGTAATAAACCTTATGAGAGAGTTAAAATATTATTATCATAGCCTAAGTTTCCAAAAACACCTGAAGAAATGTTACACAACTGTCTTATATGCTGTCTTACGATACTTTTATTACGCAACTGTTTTAAGATTTTTTATTATGTAGAAAATACTAAATAGTTCTAAAGTATAATAAATTAAAAATTAATCAGAAGACACGATGTTTAGGTAGTCAGTGAAATGCAAACTACGTACTTTTTAGCGAACCAAGACATTTTAATGACCATAACAGTCATGATATTTAAAACATTTGCTCATTAATTTATAAAATTAAAGGTAGGGAAGTGGGGGTATAACCGTATATAAAGGCAGAACCGTTTTTTAACATTTCTCTTTAAAAAATATTATCTACTATGTCAAAAAAAATACCACGCATTAGTAAAATAGTTTCCTTCATTTTGCTTATGTCAAAAAGAGTGCCTGTTATGTTTCTAAGAAGTTGTGCATTATAATGTATATTTTGATAAAAAATATTATACTTACATCATATTTTTAAAGACCTTTTTTTTTGAGGATAAAACAATATTTGATTTTAGTGTTAAAGATATGTGTCATAAGCATTATTTCATCAAGTGAAAACCGTTTTTGATATCAACATAATCTTATAAGCAAACTATAAAACTGTATTCTTTCAAAAAACTGTCTTCTGGGGCAGAACCGCATAGACGCACAGTAGGCACAACCGCATACTTTTAATATTTATCAAAGTTAAGTAATTACGAATAACAATTACAATCGTCACATTTAAATGCGTTCATGTAAAAACTTGAATAGTTTTGGTTTAAGATGAAAAGTTGTTAATGATGTCAGAAAAGTTTCGTTTTTTATTATTATAAAAATTTTGTTAGAAAAGTTTTGTTTTTTGTTAGAAAAGATGTTAGAAAAGTTTTGTTTTGAAAAAAAAGGTGTTAAAAAAGTTTTATTAGAAAAGCTTTGTTAAAAAAGTTTGTTTTTTATTAAAAAAGTTTTATTTTTTGATAGAAAAGATGTTAGAAAGGTTTTGTTTTGAGATGTTAGAAATTAGATTTCGTATTTTTTTATTTAATTTTTGTAAAAATAAAGCTAAGTTTTTGAATAAAAATAGAGCTAAGAGTATATCGAATGAGAAAACCGAGACTGTAGGTACAAAGAATGCCTACACAGTGTGTACTTACAGTAGTACACAGTATGCAAACGTGCTATAAAATCAGCAAATAATCTGAGCTATGAAAATTGTAAAGAAAATTTACCCAGAACAGTGTACCCCCAACGATTTTTGTGAGGGTGCGGTTGTGCCTCACAATCGGGGCAAAACCATTTTTTTCGCATTAAAAAATTTTAACCCTAACCCTGACCCTAAAGCCGACATTTAATATATTAGCTTTTAACTTTTCACATTTTCATTAAAACAAAACATAAACAGCTAATTTTTTCAATACGGAGAGACTTGAAATTTTTTGCAGATCAAAAGGATTCAATATTTTGTTGTGTCAACTCTGCATATACGAATATTAACGAATATAAACGCAATGTTAAAGAATGTTAACGAATATACACGCAAACAAATGTTAACGAATATACACTAGACGCCAGCAATTTCTGGAAATTTATCACTTCAAGTTGGAGTAATTACTTCAAGCTGGAGTAATTACTGGAGTAATTTCTGGAAATTAATCACTTTAAGCTGGAGTAATGGAGTAATACCTTATAAAAGAATTTTGGCGAAAAAAGTAACTTTTAAAGTTGAGTAGAAGCTATCTTTTTTAAAAAATAAGCATTAAAATTCCAACTTAAAGGTTTCTTATAAGTCGTCATTTTTATTGGATATATCGGGGTGTTCACTCTGCTGGATAAACTGAAAGAAATAGAAAGGACTGTTATGAAAAGCATGCCAAAGAAACTAAAAAAATATATATTTTGTGCATCATTGCAATGATTTTGCAATGATATATATAAATGTATAATATATAAATATGTATAATATATAAAAATGTATAATATAAATATTTATAATATATAAAAAACATAAATATGTATAATATATAAAAATGTATAATATATAAAAATCAATGCATTGATTCAATGATTATGAAAAATACATTTTCCAGTTATTCAATTGTGTTTTTTAAAAATAGTTTTATACATTTTTGTTTTGAGTTGACACCCTGTTTATTATGACATCCTTAAAAAAATGTAAACAAACCAAAAAGCAGAGTATCAAATTGTAGATTAAACCTTGCGAAAGCGTTTTACTGTTATTTTTAAGGAGTTATAAAATCTATAATATATATTAACTATATTATCAAACTTAATTTATTACAATAATACAAAAACGCCTCCTTGAAGAAGAACTAGACGGTGTAATTTATATGGTGGTAGCCCTTCTGATCTTCCCATTACAGATCTAGCAACTTATGGTGATGTAGCAAGATTTTTCTGCAAATTAAAAGATTTAGATGGTATTAAAGACAAAAATTTTATTATTCAAAGAACACTTTGTAGTTTAAAAGAAATATGGTTTAATTGCAATTCCAAATTAGTTTTGTTAACTGAAAAAAGTTTGATTGTTAAACTTTTAAGATTTTATAATAATGTTATTTCTTGGAATGGAAATAAAATTAAACCTTTGACCAAAAAATTGTTGGAAAAAAATAAAAACTTTTTGATCTGCTAGCATGTAACTGCAAGCTTGAAGTTCTTCCTTGTAATGACAGGAATATCAAATGTTCAGGTTGTTCAAATGTGCATCTTTACTGTAGTTGTGTTGGTAGTAAAAAAGTAAGTTATACAAATTTAAAGTAATTATTTTAAATCAAATTTTAAATAACTTATTTAATTTTTATTTGATAAACTTTTTTATATTTTATTATTTTTTTTTTATATTTTTAGATAATAACACGTTTTACACAAATTAATTGAAAATAATATTTAAAACCACAAATAATTATTTAGGTTCCTTTGGAAGAGCGCTCCTATATAAAAGACCAAAGGGAGAAAATTGATACTAAAGGAAAGTTTCAAATAGGAGGTATTGATAACTCTGTTTTATCACCTACCTCAAAAAAAAACAAAGCAAATAAAAGCTTCTGATGAAGAAATTTATATTAAAGAGTTTGACACAGTCAAACAGGATTTAGATCAGGTAATAAATTGTGACCTGTAAACTTAGATTGTATGATAAAAACTATATATATTCTTAAATTTCTTAATTGTTTTTAACATAATGCTCTAAAGTTAATTAGAGTATCTTAAATGTTAATGCAATTAAATGTAAAATTTTCATTGTTATGATTTTTAATTTCTGGAAGTTTTGTTGCATTTTTTTTCTATAGTTACAGAGTGAAACTTCAATTTCATCATTAAATCAGACTAGATCAAAGTACTATAACACTATCCACTATCCCAAATTTGCTTTAGAGGTAATTAAATATGGAATATCAGATAAAGCAGCTGCTGCCGTAGCTAATGCTCTACTTCAAGATATTGGTTATCTACATCTAAATGATGTAATTGATCCAAGTAAAATGAAGAGAGAGAAAGAACGAGTATGCTTTAATGCTAGTTTTGAGCAATCTAAAGTTTCAAATATAAAGGCAATTGGTTTGGATAGCAAACGTAATAAAAACTCATTGGTTTATGAACAGAGAGATATTGATAGTGAAATAAAACTTTGTAAATCTACCAGCACTGTAGACCACTTGACATTCACAATTGAATCAGGTAAAGGCCAATGTTATCTCTTTTGTCTTGGTATTTTTTTTTTTAGGTTTATTTTTTACTAATAAAAATGTTTTAATTTGACTAAGGCGAGTTGCAAGGTCAATATATAAAGCACATAGATGTACCTAAAAAAAAGGTAAAGGAAAAGATCTTGCTGAATTTACCTGTAATGTTCTCAAGGAGTTCTTCAAAAATGCTTGTCTGAAAAATAAAAACAGATAATATATAAATCTTTATTTGATTTAAATATTTTCATATTACTATATCATTTTAGGTAAAGATAATGGTTTAGTTGCTTGTCTTGAAAGAATATTGAAAAGAAGAATTCATTTAATTGGCTGTCTTCTACATGTTAACGAGTTACGATTGCGTCATTTAATTTCTAAACTTGATGGTTCTTCTAATTGCTCAAATAATTATTCGGTTAATCAAAATAAATATTATTATTTTTCTTGGTGATAATATTATTATTTAGATTACCCTTTTATTATTTAGCAACATTATTAAAACTTATAGAAATTCTATTTTTTACTTAAGAGTTTTATTGCTGCTTTACTTTATTCTGATAAGCATAATTATAAATTATTATTTTTAGTAAAAAGTTATAACTAATAATATTAATATACTTGATCAAATAATAATAATATTTTAAAGGACCAGTTGGAAAATCTTTGACAAATCCAATTCATTTAAATTTAACTGTTGACTTCATACAAGTTGAGACAGACGTTGAATATCCTTCTCAGTGTGTCATTAAAGAGCTCTCTGCTGACCAGAGAATGCTACTGGAATACAGTATTGGAATTTCTAGAGGGTTTTCAGACAATAAGTATCTGAGAAAAAAAGTGTAATTGTTTTGTAAATCATTTGTTCCTAAAATTCTTTTATTTTGTTTATTGGAATTTTATGTAAATAACATGTGATACCTAGAAATCCGGACAAAAGTTCGGTCGACATAAATTGTTTAAGGAGTGTTACAAAATTGTTGCAACTTATGCTACGTTGTAGTAAATTTAATTGTCTACAAATTGCAATATATTTTTTAGCAAACAATTATTTATAATGGCAAAGAAAATTATCTCCAAACAGAGAAGACGTCAGAAAACGCGTGTACGCGTTAATCGATTTGCGTCCGGATATAAAGAAAAGTGAGATTGTGAGACACTTTATGATCGAAGGCGCATCAATGTCGATCCTGTATAATATTCTGCAGCGCAAGACGCATAATATAGGCCCTGAAAGACAGCGTTGAACTGGACGGGTGGCAATTAAGATAAACGCAAAGAGAATCACAATGCTGAAAAAGCGAATCGATCATAGTGACGGAGTTAGCCAGCGTCAGCTAGCCCGCGAGTATGGTATCAGCCAAAAGCACATATCAAAAACAATTAACACCAAGACAATAATCAAATACAAAAAGAAGGAAAAAGTTCCCGATCGAACTCCACAACAGAAGTCAGCCGTTCGTCCGAAGTGTGCCCACCTGGCCAGAGTTTTCCTGAAAAATCAGGTGATCATCGACGACAAGTCCTAGTTTTCGTTGAACAATAACGAGCTATCTGGAAACGCTGGTTTCTACACATCTAACGTCGAAATGACTCCAAAGCTATTAAACTCAAGCGAAAGTCCAAGTTTGAGCCAAAGGTACTTGTTTGGATTGCTATGTTCGAGGACGGCCTTTCGGGCCAAGCGATCAATCAAGATGTCTACATCCAGAAGTGCTTGATGAAGCGCTTGATTCCGTTCATTGAAACAGTTCATAAGAATGACGAGATCGTTTTCTGGCCTGACCTCGCTACGTCTTATTACGCAAAAAAGACGCAGGAGTTCCTCCAAGCGAATAACATCGAATTCGTGCCTAAGGAGCATTACCCTGCCAATGAGCCAGAATCCGACTAATCGAAGACTTTTAGTCAGAACTCAAACGAAGAGTATATGATTGTGGCTGGAGAGCAAAAACCGTTGACCAGCTCACTGAAAGGATCAACTACTGCATAGAACGGATCAGTCAAGATCGCGTACATCGACTTGGCAAAGTTTCTTTCAGCCGAGTGGACAACGTTCGTAGACATGGCGTGATAAACTTATAATTTTTTTAAATCTGAAGCTTCATATGCTTAACTTTAATTATCTTTTGACAGAAATAAAATTGCACCTTTAGTCTCAAAGTTATAAGTTTTTTAGTTTTGACCGAATTTCTAGGTATCACATGTTATATATTTATTAATATATAATTTACTATTAAATTATACTATTAATTTTTATATATAAAAGATTATATTTTTAGGCCCTATTTGTCATGCAAGGTGGCTGACAACAGCAGTACGGATCTTGGCACTATACACAAGAACAATCAATCCCAGTGGAGAGCTTAAAATCTTTGTTGAATATATTCAAACAGTATATACTCCTATGTGGTTTAATACCAAAAAGTCTAAGAGTTTCACAGAAGGTTCTAAACTCGTTTTCCGATTTATTCAGCGGATTTTAAGGTTGGATACTGAAGTTCAAAATATTACATTGCCCGTAATTTATAGAAACTCTTTTTGTCTCCAACGTGAGAATTTTATTGCTGCTCTACTTTATTCTGAAGAACAGGTTTATAGAACAATTGCTGTTGTTAAGATTTTGGAAACAAGAAAAACACTAATTAAGGATCCTAAAAATGGATTAAAAGATGGCATTAGGGTTAATGCCATTCCAGTTATTGATTGTAGATGTAAAAACTGGTCAAAATTAGTAAATTTGTATGATATAGACTGTTTTGAACCCCCTTGTTTGGAAGATATATCAAATGAGGAGCTTTTGAATAAAATTCACTTGCTAAATAAAATGTCTACAAAATCAAAAGGAGCATAACAAAATCTTGTTTTTTTGGGTGTGTGTGTGTGGGTGGGGGGATGGGAATTGCTAACACCTGCCCCCCCCCTCCCATCTAGTCACCACCCGTAAAAATAGTTTTCTTCTTTTGCTTCTGTATATTAGAATAAATCCTGATAAAAAGTGCTGTAACAACATAACATTGTTGTTTATGTTTAAATCCGTTTTTCCGTTAATGGCTAATGATTATTGAAAACCGCTTATTGTTTAGTTATGATAATTATATTTCCAACACCCTAAAAACAACCTTAAAAATTTAAGTTAAAATTGTTTATACATACATGAAAGTTTTAGTGCGTTAACGTTTAAACAATACATTCATAAAAGTTTTTTTGCGTTAACGTTTCAAATATTTGTGAGACCTCTTAAAGTTTTTACTTTTTAATGATAATATATAATAAATATAAGTCCAAATAAGATAGAATCGGAAATGAAGCTTTTATATTTTGCCCATAGCGTTTTTATGGTCTAAAGAAGGTACTCCAGCTTGAAGTAATTGCAATTTCGAAAAAAAGTTAAAAATCACTGGTGTCTAATATACACGCAAAAATAATTTTCATAAAAAAAATAATTGCTTTGAATTCACTTGAATAAAACTTTTTACTTTTATTATTCAAACAAAGCAATTATTGAAAATTTTAGCAACTTAACATTTAAAGGTTTATGTTTACTATTTTTGCATCCATGAAAAAAAAAAGAAAGGAACAGACGTAAAACTAGGCATTTTAAACGCTGAGCGCTGTATCGCACTTCTACCTTCATTTCTTTAAATCCTGAAGCACACAAAAACAAAAACACTTTTCTTGCCGACAAAACTTAATTCAATTATAGTCTTGCATTCAAGTCAGTTTTTATTAATCAAATATTAATATTAAAATATTATAATTTAGTCAAGCCATTCTTTTATGTAAACGCATGTTTGAGGTGAAACCAAGCCCCCTGGATAACAATTTTTGACAACCTAAAAATATATTGTAATATTATATGGTTAATGATATAAATAAGAAAAACTCTTTTTACATATATTAAATTACCGGACAAACGCCACACGGTATTCTCATTAGGCCCGTCACAGGTAATAATGGTTTAACAGCTCGATATAACTTTTTTTGAATCACTCCAGATTCAATATTATCCATTGACGAATCTGATACAATAATCATTTCAGCCATCCCATCATAGAGCAAAGTACTAAGGATTGTTTCAATATCTTTGATAGTCAAGGATACCTAGATGATTAAAATTTTAAGCATATTTTCATTCATTTCAATATTGGAACTTTATTTAGCAAATTATTAACTACTAAATTAAGCTTCAAATTATTAAACTTTTTCTTTTATTTTCTTAAGTTTAAAAAAAAAAATTAAATATTATTTATAAGCATATCAATAAGCATACTAAAGTTGCTAAGTATTTTTTAAGCATGGTCGTCAGAAAAGGACTTATAAACGCGTAGTAATAAATAAAATAAAATAAAAAAAGTGCTATCTACATAAACTTTTCTTCTTCACAACCGAATTTATTATCTACAAACCTATTTCTAAGAACCCTAAATTTTTTTCTATCAGCCAAAAAAAGTCAAAATAAAAAAAGTCAAAATAATTTCTGACCTTACTAATTCCAAGATCCGAAATGTATTTCCAGACTTCATGCGAAGAAGCATATGAACGATTTCGTTGTAGCAATGGATCAATCTTCATTTCTTGTGCTTGTTGCAGCTAACAAATGAAGATATCCAACACATGAACTAAGGTAGAACACTACACTGGAATAAAGCTAGTTATATCTTTAGTAATAATCAAGTAACTTTTGCAATAAACAACTTTTGATCCAGTAGCAAACTTTTGGGCAACTTTTGAGCTTTTTTTTTTATTTCAATGATGTTTCACAATTAAATGTGTTATTTGTCAGGGTTCCCACTATTAAAACTAAGGCTAAAATTAAGAATTTTAAAGAGATTTTAAGGAGATTTTCCTAATATTTAAGGAGATTTGGTCGCGAACAACATTTTTTCAAAAGAAAAAGTAAGGATAATTAAGGAGAAAACAATTACATTTAAAACATAATCTTATTTTTTTCAATAAATTTTAAATATAAACAGAGAAATTATTATTTCTTAATATATATATATATATATATATATATATATATATATATATATATATATATATATATATATATATATATATATATATATATATATATATATATATATATATATATATATATATATATAAATATATATATAATAACAAAAATAGGTTTGAAAACTATCAAAAATCTATATATTATCTTCTTTATTAACAAGTATAATCCATTCACTTTAAAAAAATTTCTAGATGAATAAAAAAAAAAAAAAAGGAGAAATTAAGGAGAGCAGTCAAATTTTAAGGAGGTGTGGGAACCCTGTTTATTAAACACTTTTTAATAGTATTTTAATAAAAGTGTAGCTTTTACAATATACAAAATCTTTAAGCATATGTGTGTGAGTATGTTTGTGTGTGTATATATATATATATATATATATATATATATATATATATATATATATATATATACACATACACACATTTAATGTATATATACACACACACATATAATATATAAATATATATTTTTATATTCATTTATATATATTTATTTTTATATATAAATATATATATCTCTATCTATATTTATATATATCTATATATCTATATATCTTTCCCTATATTTATCTTTCTCTTTCTATTATATATATATATATATATATATATATATATATATATATATATATATATATATATATATATATATATATATATATATATATATATATTTTGTATTTGCATTTGTATTCCCAACAAGGGTGCAAGCAACCACTATTAAGTTGGGAGTTACTAGGAAAAAAAAGAACAGAGTTGTAGAGCAAGGAAACGGTTGACAGAAGACTTGAAAAGTTGAAGGTTGTTTGAGTCAGGAAAACATGAAGATGGGAGAGAGTTCCAAAGGATTGAAGTGCGGGGAAAAAAACTAGATAAATAAAAGTTTTTAGAGCATGCAGGGACAGATACAGTAAACGAATGAGACTTAGCTGAATGACGAGTAAAACGAGAATGAATTTTAGTTGATGGAGCTAGAGATGATAACTCCTTTGAGCAGTGACCATGATAGTATTTGTAGAAAAGAGAAAGAGATGCAACTTTACAACGATGGGAAAGAGGTTCAAGCTTAGCAGATAGTCCAGGTCCAACAACATTTACAATGCGTTTTTGGATCTTGTCAAGAAGAGAAAGTGAATCATTAAAAGAACCAGCCCAAATATGACAACAGCATTCCATATAGGGACGAATAAGAGATTTGTAGAGGTAGAGAATGGAATCAGAAGTAAGGAAATGGCGAGCACGATAAAGAGAAGCAACCTAAGCAGAAGCTAATTTAGCAATCGATTGTATATATGGTTTCCATGAAAGGTCAGTAGTAAGCGATAATCCAAGAAGACATAAAGAGGAGGACTCAGTATATATAAATATATAAATAAATATATATACATATATATATATATATATATATATATATATATATATATATATATATATATATATATATACAGAGAGAGAGAGAGAGAGAGAGAGA